AGAGAAAGAGAAAGAGAAAGAGAAAGAGAAAGAGAAAGAGAAAGAGAGAGGGAGAGAGGGAGAGAGGGAGTGCCACGTTCAGAGAGTGCCATGCTCTGCTGCATTTCCATGAGCCAGGTGCCAATGGAACAGATGATGTGCGCTGAGATTTGTTTCATTAGTTTTCGAAGGGTTTGTTTCCACAAAGGATTTCTGCAGATCTAGGGCCGTCCAACCAACTGCTGGGTAGGCCTCTTTTTTCCAGTTTGGAGTTTGATTCTATGGCACGCCACTATTTTTTCACGAATTGATCAGAGAAAGAGGCGCATCACGACAACTGAGCTGCGCAGAACACGACCAAGGCGGCCAATCCTCACATCCTAGAGGGCTACTTCAGCTATCCCGAAGAGCCCCTTGAGACCTACAAATGTCGCGACGCCATGTGTACCTTGGACCATGTCACAGTCGTCAAAAATCGGCCCCAAAACTTGGGTCCACATAGAACGCCCCGAGGCTTCGACGAACTGAACAAACTTTGAACTTCCAACCTCGCGAGAAACCGCCACCGCGTGGCGCGCAACGGTTGGAGGCCTTCTCTTCTAGGTTGGAGGCCATCGCTCTTAGGGTGGAGGCCCTTGCTTTTAGGTTGGAAGCTGTTAGGTTCCTTAAAACCACACGCCACACGCCGCACGCCGGCCGCTCCTCCTCCTGAAGGCCCTGGTGGAGCTCCTGGCAGCTGCCTGGGTGGCAAGGAGGGCCTCGCGTGTCGACGCTGTCCTGTGGGTCAGTGCCTTGGGACGCACTGCAAAACGGGCGGGTGAACCCCCCTTAGCTATTTAAGGCAGTTTGAGTGTTTTTTTCTCCATCCACTTCAGTATACTATAGAAGTATTAGTACTTCCTTTGTATCTCTATAGTATAGATTCACCTTGTAGTAGCGATATGTATACTGAATGTACAACTGACTTCCTTTGGGGTCGCCCCACAAAACCCGCCAGGGAGTCCTCGGACCGAGACTGCAGGACTAGACCTTTAGTAGAAAGGTCACCGATTCGTTGGTCACCAAGCTCACGAACTGAATGAAACTGGATTTGACACAAATCTTGGGACAATTCTTGGAACATCTCTGTCTCTTCCAACTTGTCGCACCTTATTCGGAATCACCGCTCTCGCGGTCCCAACCCCTTTCGGCCCCGGAAGGCACCGGCCTCGCTCGGCCCCCGCGGCGTTCGCTGGCGCAGGCGCCTCGGCCCGGCCAGGTTCGCCTCCTCGGGGTCCTGCCAGACCTGCAGCGACTACGTGGCAGTCCTTTGGCTCCTGGGGCTCATCGCCTTGATCGCTGGGGTCACCGGCACCTCCGGTTGCACCGGGACGTCAACACGTGCGAACGAAGGGCGCGGAGGGTGGGGGAGACCGGTGCAGATTGGATGGGTTTGATGGCATGAAAAGACACGGATGCCAGAGTTCTGCCAAACTTGGGATGGTTTTTTATCAATCAATATGAATGGTTGGTTGGGTAGGGACATATTGAGATGTGAAACATATAGTGAGGGATCCTCAATCTTACACGCCATTTTGGCTCAAGATTGGGGATTCCCTCGAATTTTCTTCGCCATGCCCACCGTCCATCGCACTGACCTTGCTGCTTGGCGGGTGGTGGCGCGACGGTGGAGGCGAGGGAATCGGGGGAGGGACGCTAGCCTGCTTTCCCGTGCGGAGCGGCTGGCGTCTCTCGCGGCACGGGGTGCCTTCATCGAGGCCCAGTGGGACGCGGTCTATCGTGCACCTGATCTTCAAGCAGATTGGTGCCGAGCTTGCGCCCAGTGGACCACTTCCTGGTGCGAAGGGTGCTACGCCCGCTGTCAGCCTGGCGACGAGTTCAGCGCCATCTGCCACGCCTGCGACGGCGAGCACCGAGTCTGTGACCGGTGTGAAGCCCGGGCAGTGACCTGGCAGCAGGGGCATCAGCGCTACGTGGAGGAGAATGGAGAGGACCAAGAGAACCAGGTCCACATCCAAGGGTTTGGAACCCAAACGGATGCCCCGTTCTTCCGAGAGGCCGATGAATCCATCAGCCTCAGCGAGCTTGGCAGCGCCCTCAACATGCCCACCGACCGCGTCCGGGAGTACATCATCGCCCAGCTGCGCAGCCATGAGGCCGGATCAGCCCATGGAGGGACAACTCCAGGAACTCCTGGTCGATCGGCCCATTGTCCTCCTGAATCACCTCGTGGACCTGGGCGTCCAGACCTGTGAGGACGTCCATCACCTATGGCCCACAGGAGGTGATTTGCTAGCTGAATTGGAGCGCAGGCATGGTGGTTTGGCGGCTGAAGAGGGCTTCACGATTGTCTCGTTTTGGACCCTTGCGTCCCAACGAGCGCAAGCCACCTACAAGCACCACCTCCGTGAGATCTGCATCCATCGCCAGTCAGCGGTCGCGACTTCCGCTCCTGCTCGTCCGCCGGACGCCTCAACTGCAGTAGCTCGCCCGGTGCGGCGATTGCTGGCCACGGGGGAGGTCCGTGAACCCCCCCTCCTGATGAGTTTGGCCGCCACTGACCCGCATGTCAAGGAACAAGCAGCCAAGGTGGCCAAGGTGCAGTCCCTGTTCGAGTTGTTGGTGCAGGACTTCCTCGACCTTCACGAATTGGGGGTGTCCAGGGCCCAGCTTCAGGACGCTACGAGGATGCAACTATTGAAGGAGTCCATCATGCCGGCCGCTGATAGGCTCTCAGTGAACCGCCTGGGAGCACTCCTGAGCACGCTACGACGGTGGAGGGAGTTTGCCCTGCGGTTGGGGTTCGACTTGGCTCAACCCACCGCGCTTCAGTTGAACACCTTCCTCAAGGAAGTGGCTCGTGGAGGACCTACAGCTGGCTCGGCCGTCTTTCACGCCCTCAACTGGTTCCGGGCCCAATTTGGGGTGCAGTTCCCTCTGGATCACTGGCTGGTCCGCGGGTTCAAGCTCCTTCCAGTCGGGCACACCTCACAGCAAAAGTTGGAATTGCAGCCATGGGAGTTCGTGAACATGCTTTTGAAACTTCGTCAAAGCTCAGGTACCACCTCCCTGGTGCTGGCCTTCATGCTGTGGGCTGCGGTGTCGTGCATTCGTTTTGAGCACGTGCAACGCTCCAAGTTTGACCGGAGCGAGGGCAATGCGCTGTTCTTCACCTGCTCCCAGGGCAAGGCACGGCGCCAGGGTGCCCGGCCTGCTTTCCAGTGGGCGATGCCAGACATCCCTTTCCCTGGGTTCAGCTTGGTGAAGATTGTACAAGACTTCGTCACCCTGGAGCTTTTGCCGGAGCGCAATTACCTTTGGCCGGCCTTGCAACTAGATCCGCTGGATTTGTGGCAGGTGACTGAACACACCCCGTGGCGCCTTGACCGCAAGCTGTCACGCGGACGCTTCCTGGAGCTCCTCCGCGGGGCGCTGCTGGACATCGGCACTGCTCCTGACCAGGCACAGACTGCGGGGTTCAATCGTCTGAGACGGTTCCTCCCGACTTTGGGGAACGTGGTTCGCCTGTCCCCTCAGGACCAGCAGGCAGTGGGCAACTGGGTTGAGATCCCCACTGGTGGGGGCCCGATCCCTAATCAGAAGTCTCGTGCCACTTGGACGATGGGCATCCACTACAGCGGCCAGCGGGCCCTCCACTCCGCCCTGGTAAAGAAGGCCTTGTTGAAGCGGTTCATGCGCCTGTACCATGCCAAAAAGGCGGAGCTCGCGTTGACCGATGAGGGCCTTCATCCGCGAGACAGTTGGACATGGGCTGAACTGGCGGCCCAGAATGAGCAGCTGGGTGACATGGGGACTGAGCTCCCAGCCCCGCCTGCGGCTGAGCCCGCCCCACCGCTGCCTGTTGATGACTCGGCCGCTCGTGGCTCGGCTGATGTTCAACCTGGCCCCACTGTGCAGGAGACCTCCTCACCACATGGGACCGAGCCTGAACCGGAAGCCCTGGACAACCAATCGGATTCGGCTACATCATCCGCGTCTTCTGATTCGGCGTCGGACGTCTCCAATGAGGCCACGGACCTAGAGGGAGCCATCTCCACTGATGACGTGGCTGAGACCACGCATTGGCTGGTGCAGGGCACCAAAGTCCACCTCATCCGAGGCGAGACAGAGGGCCGCCTCCTGCCTTGGTGCAGGGACGCACCTTTCTCGCAAGATCCTCGATCTACCGGAGAAGGATTCTCCGTTGTCTCGCGCCAGCGTTTTTGCCAACGATGCTTGGCACGTATGCCCCGAGGCTTGTACCGGGCACTGGCACGAAGCTGCGGGTGGTTGAATTGACACACCACCGCATCGCATATCAGGAAAAAGGATGCCTGCGCCCTACCTCCGATCCGTCGTTCGTTCGGGTGGGGATAGGCTTCTGCCTGTTTGGGTTGTGCACTCCCCCTTTTCCCCGGGGAGGGGTCCGTCCGTGGCCGGCCGCCCTTCCTGTTTCCGTTTGTGTCCGGACGGGGTCGGGGGGGGGGCCTGCCGCCCGCTTGCACACGATTGGTTAGGAAGGGAAGGGGGACTGGTAGCGGTTTTTCTGGATGGGCAACCCCCCGGCTTTTGAAGGCTTGCCACGGGAGTGTCCTCTCGGCATCCATTTGCGGGTACGGCCTGTGTGTTTGTGACGTGTCCTTGACACCGCAACCATGGCCCAATCCAGCTTTTTGCCAACAACATCGCATGCGCGTCTGAGCGGCCCGGGTGGAGCTGTGCTACCCAGACCCCCGGTAGACCATCGACGCCGCGCCATGAGCAGAGGCCATACGATCGACGCGTTGCAGGATGACCGTGGCTTGGCCACCTGCTTCCAGGTCTCCAACGTCCTCCCGGAGTGGGCCGAGGCTGTGACCCGTGCCCATAAGTGGGAAACCTTGGAGGATTTCGTCTTCTCCGTGGACGAGAAGGACGTTCAGAGTGCCATCCAAACCCTCCTGCTTCCCACAAGCCTCAAAGACAACCGGCTGGCACAGGCTCGCCTGCGCGCGGCCTACGCAGCAGGTGCTGAGGCCATCAAGCAAGCGGCGCAAGCAGCAAAATCGTCTGATGGGGTCGACGACCCGTTGCCCGAGTCCACAATGGAGCAACTCAACCGGGACTTCCGAGCGAAGTATTCCATCATTGTGGAGGCTACCCTTGAACCCAGTGACGCTCTGCGAGCCCGGGTTTACAGGGAATTCAGAAAGAAGACGATGTCGGTGGTGCCCGCCTCCCGCATCAAGTCGGTCCTCCACCAATCTACACCGAGACAGCAAGATGCAGTCAAGCTGGGCGAGGGAGTCCAGCTGGAGTTTCAGACCGAAGAAGCGCGCACCATCCGCACCGTGGTGGACTACTACTGGTCCCTACGCACACTGGCTTATGCATGGGCATGGGCTGGATTGCATCGCCAACGAGGCCACGATGGCAAGGAGATTGTCTTCATCTCCCTGACAGCAGCCAACAACTATGCAGACCATGCTCTCTATAGTGCTATGGAATTTGGGCAGGGGTCTCGTTTGTGGTTGGAGCGCAACGACCTGTTGACCCGCACCAAGATGGCCAGCTACATCCGTCAGGGCTACAATGCATGGGAAGCGCTCCAGGAGGCCCTCCGTGAGACTCACCTGGAATGGCGCGCGAGTGCAATTCAGGCAGTCCCCAATGAGCCAGCTCATCCGCCCAAACGGGCTGCCCCGGGTGGCAGTGAGGCCGGGCCTCCTGCACCCAAGAGGCGTCAGGTGAAGCAGGACTCCCACCAGACCATCTCGATGTTGAAGGGCGGTCTCAAGTTGTGCAAGCCTTGGAATGACGGCCGTGGATGCTCGAACACGAAGTGCCCGCAGGTCCACAAGTGTGATGTCAAGCTCCCATCAGGGAAACCCTGCCAGGGCCCTCATACCCGTCTGGCCCATCCCATGGAATAGGGACAACTCCCCCCAGCAGCCTGTGTGCTGCGGGGGGTTGGGCACCCGTCCAGGCACGACACGCCTCCAGCCTCGCCTTCAGAGCCTGTGAGAAGGGTCACTATGTGCACGCCGGAGGTGCCCAACCCCACCACGTTGGCACAGCGCTTGGCAGGCGCCAAGCCACTCACGTGGCGCGGCAGGGGTGACCTTCCCCAGTTCCCATGGGGCCACCCAGTCCGAGGCACTTGGCTGGTGCTGGATCTTTGGGCCGGAGTGGGTGGCCTATGTTTGGCATTGCTGGCTCTGGGCGTGCACATCTATGCAATCAGTGCTGAGAGCGACCCTGAGGCTAGTGCCGCCGCCCTGGCCACCATGCCCAATTTGGTTCACATCGATACTGTGGAAGCCATTCGGGGTGCAGACCTCCGGCCTTTCCTTCAACGCCGCCAGGTGCGC